TCCTGATGATCTGTTTGACTTCATATTTAGCAGACTAGACAAGGACTCTGAGGTAAGGAACCTGGAATTCCTGTGGACGCCATCAGTGGTAGTGGTTTATTCCAGTAGAGTAGACCAAGGGTTATTTTATCAAATTTATTTAACCTCAAATAACCTTATTTATGTTAGTTATAATTCACATCTACAACATGTACACAAGGCCGGTAAAGGGTTAAGAGATGTTATGAGGTGTTGCACCATGACGATACAAAATTAAATAAATATCAAGATGATTGTGATGAATATAATGGCTGGACCAAAATTATCAATGCATAGCAATCATTTCACTATTACAATGGTAGATGACTACTAAAAATTATCTGTTTTTTTGGGCCCTATCTGGAATGAAAAATTTTATGATTTATTTTTCCATAGTTCTAGACAACAACAGATTAGTTCAATCGGCTAAACTGGTGATAGCCACTGTGTGTGTGCTGAACCATGAAGATCTTTTAATTTCCCATCGCTGCTCTCCTTTTTTTTTTAGCTGTAGGGCAAGTTTCAATAGTACAACCCCTGTGAACTTTATGACCAATGTGCACCTTAAAGAACACAGTACACTATTCAGTAAAAAGTAGGGGAATGGTATGTCTTCCGGTGTACTGTCCGCTCACCACCAGAATAAACCCAATGGGAGTAAGTCTTTGCACTTTCGTTGGTTATCGTTGGTGTTGATACCAATGAACCTGATCCAATGGTATAAAAAGAAACAGAACTCCTTGGCAAGCTAGTTTTAACTTTTGCACACAAACCACAAAAAGGTCAATCAATCCGTGTACTATTGAAAAATAAGTGCATGGTTTCGGAGTTCCAATTTATGACACCACTATTGACTTATAGTGATGATTACAGTATTCAACTATTTTCAATATATTATTGACAGTTTTGAATAAAATTTTTGTTGTTACAGCTTTGTACTGGCATTGGTCAGCTATTGTTTGAAATGGTCAAAAGTGTCATGAAGCAATTTCATTCTTGTACTGGAAAGGTAATTACATATTTATTAATATATATTTTCTTTTATTATATGTTTCATGGCTCTGGGCAGATTGTTGTTAATATTATTATTATTCAAAAATTACATTCACATTTTCGCACTGATATTGTCGAAAATTAAAAAATATACCCCCTTTTCAAATTGCTTTTTAAGCATGAAGGGTAAAGACAAAACAGTAAAAACAACACAAAGAGATAAATGTACCAAAACCTTCCCAATTAATGAACGATATGTAAAAAACAACATTTTAAAATATTTAATGAATTGAATAATATATTTCAATATTTCAAATTAAAGCAAATTTACAGTGAGAAAAAAAGAAATGTTACTTAGAAAATATTCTATTACTGTTAAGCTTGAATATTTACAGAAATTTGGTAAAATATCCTTTACTTTTTAGTTTCTCATTTTAGAGTTCTTAAAGAAGAGTATTGTGCAGCATTATCATTTCTTTCTCAGGTATTACCAATATTATTGCATAAGCTTGGACCTGATCAAGATGGAGACAACATCCCTACATTGCCATGGGGTCTAGTTCAAAAAGCATTGTCGCACATGTTATGTTGCATGCTTGAACACACAAACAAGGAAAATGTGCAAGTTGTGTGGGATTGTTTTTATGTAAGTTTGGCTTTCAACAAATACAGATAGAGTATTCTTTGTTAGTATACATAGGATTATTGTAGTATACTGTAGTATTAGTTAATGTCCTAAACAAACAGCGAGAACAGTATTCTCAGGAAGAATGCATCAAAGGAAATTTGCATATAATGATATTTAAATATTAGATGTGTTTTCAACAAAAGTATATATTTGGTTAGTATGAATAATAGTCAACCTACAGTTTATAAATTTTATTTTTTAGTATTGCTTGGTATTTTGTGTGTAATATTTAATTTTGTTTACATAGAATTTATATTACTTTATCTCAGATTTGAAAATCAATTATGACAGAAACATTTCCCAATTACGTACCCAGCTGTCCAGCTAAGAAAATTTGTAATTCAGAGAGTTCAAATGTTTATAGCATACCAGTGGTGAGGGTAGGACTAGTGGTACATAGTAGACAGGCCTAGGTAGACATACCATGGGAGCAAACTTTCTGCAACCAAAAAATACTGTACAGAAGCCAAAATTATAGTACTCATTGTGATGAATTCATTGTTAATGATTTCTGAATAAATATATGATCATTACTTGTAAAAGTGTTGTTATTCCCTTCTTAAAGTTCAGGAATTAGTTTAGTTTTATCAGATTGGAATAAATAAAGATACAGTATTTTCCATATCTACTTTACAGTAGCTTCCTTCTTGGTTGATAAAACGTTTTATATATTATTTTTGAAAATTTTAAGTGTTTTTATAGTGAGAAAAGCTTGTTCATAATAACGTCAACACCACAAATTTTTTTCATAGAATAGAGAGTTCGTAATTGAGATTTCCGTAGTAATAATAATAATAATAATAATAATAATAAATCAATTCTTTTATTGTAGATGTACCATAAGGAGAAGAAATATCTTAGGTAGATTGATTGTAAACATTTATAATCTTACTTTACTTGTTTCCAAAGGATGCCATTATCAAACTCCATGATCATTTCACAATAGCTAAAGCTAATAAGGAGGACATTTTGGAACAGTTAAATCGCTTGCTTCAGCTATTTCAGCAGCTTCTCCAAAAAGGTGATGGAGGTTTAGTTGTGTCACCTACCAAGCTGGTAGAGGTAAAGATATTTTTAAAATAATGTATAAATAGTTCAATTAAATTTCATTGATTAAAAATCCAAAATCCAACAATGATTATTATTTGTAGGAAAAAATTGCAATATTGATAAGCTAACAGATAGATCTTGGGCGTCATGTTAAACGCAAGGCGAGTCCAGTCGTCGTTGAACGCGTCTTGCATTTTCTAGCGTTAAATGTCTGCGACGAAGCTAATTAGCTATAAAACTATTTTTAAAAAAAACTAAAAGAAGAACTATATCTTTGTGATTACATTTTTTTTCTGTTTGTAGATGATAGAAAAGTTGTTGTCTGGTCCAGTCGTATCTTGTAACTGTTGTGACACCCTTGTCGAAATCATCTCTACCCTCTTGTGTGCTCCCAGATGTGATCTAAATCTAAACCAAACATCTAGTCTAGTTACTAAGGTAAGATGGTTAATAAGACTATTAAGTGGAATTGAAACTATTCCATATTTGGAAAAATGAAAGTGTTTGAGATAGAATTTTTATTTATATATTTTTAGATACTGAAAGGAAAATATGGAAAGAAGAAAATTTTCACCTTTGTCAGTAATCTTCATGAACAGAGTTGGTTTGAAAAGGTAATTTGTTTATTATTAATTCCATGAATTTATGGATGGTAGATGGGCATCTCTAATTAATTCAATTTCAGTTCAGTTAATTTCAATCTTTCTTGTCAAACACTGTAAAATATATGGTTTGAAATTTCAGTTGTTTGTTTACAGATTAAAATTTAAAAAAATATTTATTGATACAATCACATACTAAAATATACAACACACATATATCATGTCATAAAATGTTAAAATATAAAGATAAAGGTTAAAATTGTAAAAGATAAAATGATAAAAAATTGGCTAAAATAGAGGTCTCACAAATTTCAACCAAAATGGCATAAAAGCAGTATGTGTATAAAATGAATTTAAAATGTATAGAGTTTTGCATCCAAATTGTATTATAAGTACCAAAGCTAAAGAAAGTCTGTATGGTAGGCCTACACGAAATTATACATTACAGTAGTTTATGAATTTTATACTTTCCACAATTCTAATGTACAGTACTTTATAGTATGCATTTTATTTAATTATTTTAATCCTGTGACCAAAATATAAATAACTTTGTGGCTATTGTTACACCAGTTATAATCCAATTCCTGTACCTATAGGCTATTATTTTTGTTTATTTGTCATACCATAAAAGAAATGCATTGAAGATGATAGGTCATCCTCATGAATACATTAATTTATTAAGTTTGGAAATACAAACAAGTCATAAGTTGAAGATGTTGTAGCATTTTTTTTTTCATAGGAAATATTTCTTGTTTACGTTACTTTTTAGGTTGTCTTACCTGGTTTTCTGGACTTCTGCTACATATGCATCACTAGCAATAATAAACAGACTAGAAAAGATGCCCTACAAGCATTGGCCAGCCTGGCAAACACTAAGCGACCTATGATCATTGATGCATCACATTTGGCGTCTTATCAGCCGTATCATTTTGATTTCAGCTTAGCTCTAGAAAAAAGGTTTGAGATCTTTGAATGAATTTTTGTGCTGTATTAAAATACAGTTAAACTTGCCTAAGTTACATGCCTAGTTGTTGTATTTTCCATTTACAATCTGTAAGTTAAATTTTATCTAAGTCAAACAATTTTTTTAATGCCATTTTGGATTTGACTTAGGCAAGTTTCAACTGTATATATTTATTTTTTTCAAAATTAGTTTTTTACAAAAATATAATATTTTTTGTTCAAAATTCTTTTTGAAATTGTCAAAAAAGGTAAAATATTGTTTGTAATTTAGCATCTAAATTAACAACACTTTGTTAATCCTACTTATATGATAATTGCTGGATTTCATCTTATCAGCTTTTTTTTGTTTTTTTGTAACTGATCTGCCAATATTTATACATTAGGTATTAGGTTTATATAAATGTTAATGTACTATGTTGTATTAGCTTACTTTTGTTGCAAGGTACACTTTTATAATAGACTATTAACCCTTTAAAGTCTTAGCCACTACTAGCTGTAGCCAGTTATATAGAAACATCACAAACATTCACTTGTGCTATTTTACTGGGTGCAGCCATTTTTTTTACTTTGAACTCTTACCTAATAGTGAGAAAGCTAATTAAGTAATTTAGAAAGTTGCTGTTGAGACAGTGGAACACATAGGTAATTATAAGTTTTCATTTCAACCACTATATTTCAAGGGATAAAATACAGTAAAATCACAACAAACAAAACAACCTAGGTCACTTGCTTACTCTGGCAGGCAGGGGCAAGGCAAAGTAAACAGAAAGTGGGGCAGGGGTTGTAAAATACTCATGGTATTTGATGAATTCTCTTTAAATTAATAAATAATATAATGTATGGTTATTAGGATGTAGCCTCAATGCCTTACACCTGGAATGGATTGAAATAATTTATGAAATACCTAGTATTTTGTTTCTTTCAGATATAAGAATACAAAAATCTGATACTATACCAGATTATGTTTTATCTCTACTGAATTTAAAATTTTGGAACAAATATTTTGTTTCTTTCAGAAACAAGGATAAACCCACTATTATACAAGAATATGTTCTGTCTCTACTGAATGTAAATTCTATTGACATATGTTCAGAGTCTAACCAAGCCGGCCTATGGGGAGCACTGTGTTGCATTCCACACATAAGGTATGTTATGGTTCAGTGGTTATGATGTAAACCAGCTTGTAGTATGCAGTGATGGTGTTAAAAAAAAAAAAAAAAAAACATGTTAAACAGTACTTAACTATGAGAATAAGAACATTGGTAACATTTGAAATTTTTTTGTACACAGTAGAAGCTCGTTTTTACGTACCTCGGTTATATGAACCCTCAGTTTTACGTACGCCTCGTACAGATGATGACGTCCTAAAAAAAAACCCTGAAATACTCAAAACAGGCCTTTTTAGGACCACCATAATTTAAAAAGAGATTTGTTAGTTTCTGTATGTTCATTATTCTAATACTAGATATAAAGTGATGAATTAATACACTAGACACATTATTTTATTTGAACACTTTATTATGACATCATAATGAATAAGTGATATATTCATATTTAGTCTTGTGTACGTATTGCATCAAAGATCACCACAAAGTTAACCCAACCTTGATTTTAATACAAATCCCAAGGTCCTATACCGTACGTAAAATCGAGGCTCTACTGTACATATTTATTTTTTCCAGGCCTATGGACAAAACCAAGTGTAAAGAAGCTCTGAGAAATACAATTACTAAATTGGCTCAATTACTTCCCAGTTTAGAAGACCCATTGAAAGGTAATTTAAACTTGAAAACAGTGCTGGTTCGAAAATAAGAAACTCATAATTAATAAATTAAATAAGCCTAGGAGCCTGTTGTACACATTGAGAACTTTTGATTTTTTTTTTAATTTTCACAGTATAACATATGTTTCTGGAGATTAATCATTACTGTAGATACCATACTCAACAGAAACTTGACAAATACGTCCTCATTATTACATTCAAATTGTGAATATTAACTTCATATTGGATTTTTATTGAAGTTAAATTTCTTATACTTTTTTTATATATCTTGTTTTTGGTGATGGAGTATGAGCAGTTTCCTGTTTGGGTTCATATTTATTCCTTGCTCCTGTCAAGATTGAACTTTTACTTTGTTGAGTAAATCTTATTATTATACCACTTGCACCTGAAGAGGGGAGCTGGCACTCCCGAGAATTTTTTATTTTTTAAAAAATAAAATCTATTCCTCAAAA